GAACATTACAATGTTCATATTTACAGAATTCGCAATACCAATAAAATTTCACCTGTGCAGGAAGTTGACGAGTTTTACAAGCAGCCAATGTTTTATGCCATCGGTCATTTGAGCAAGTTCGTGGTTCCCGGCGCCCAGCGGATCTCTTTGTCGACCACGTCAGACTTCCTGGAGGTGGCCGCCTTCATCGACCCGTCAGGACGCACTGTCGTCGTTGTCCTCAACAAGTAAGGAAGGAAACTGACACGAGTTCAATATATTATCTCTCAGTGTGTTTTAATTGTCTCTAGTGGCAGTATACAGCCGACATACAACGTTAACCTTGTGTGTAGTGTTGTTCATAACTACGAGCTTAAATCTAACTTTGTACAAACTGGAAACTATCACACATTGTGACTATCATTAAGCATATACGATATGTACAATATATATTTGAATGTGTTTGTATATATTCGTAAATAGTGTATGAACACTAAATTAACCAATTCACTGAAGCTATGGCTAACTGTGAAGGCCTACAAATTTATGCTTACATTGTATTTACCTGAATTTACTTGAGGGCTACCAACACTAATGGCCTCGACGAGAATGGGAGGCCGGCGGCTTGTCAAAGGTCACCCCATTTGTCCTGTGGAAAAAACTCCCACATCAGCCATAAATTGCTAATACAACCGGTAGAAATAAATTGCTGCTGGTTGTGTTAATTCCATTATACATAACACATTAGTTAGTTATATTGGAGACTGGAAATAACGAATTTACTTAAGAAAACAGGGTTAATTTCCCCCGTGTCGTTTGCATCTCGTTACAAAATCTATTTAGCTAATGTTACACTAAAATCATCAGTCTCTGGACTGAACGCAAAATAAAATGAATCTGCTAAATTAATTACACAGTCACTGAAGATCTGACAACATTTCTGTGTGTATTAAAGTGAGGGCGAAGAGGTAGAACAGCTTGTTGGCAGAGCCCGAATGCACGGGGAAGTTGTGTAAAACCCTGGTTTGTGTCTCGGAGAGGGTGCAGGATCCGTGTGAAGTCAGTGGAATTCCCGGTTGCAATTCTTTTGACCATGTCAAAAGAATATAGTCCTGTATATATATATATAGTCTATAGTCTATGTATATAGTCCTGGGGACCATTCAGGCTTGTTTGCATATATATATATATATATATATATATATATCTATATATATATATTATATATATATATATATTATATATATATATATATATATATATATATGGCGTACCTAGTAGCCAGAACGCACTTCTCAGCCTACTATGCAAGGCCCGATTTGCCTAATAAGCCAAGTTTTCATGAATTAATTGTTTTTCGACTACCTAACCTACCTAACCTAACCTAACTTAGCTTTTTTTGGCTACCTAACCTAACCTTACCTATAAATATAGGTTAGGTTAGGTTAGGTAGGGTTGTTTAGGTTCGGTCATATATCTACGTTAATTTTAACTCCAATAAAAAAAAATTGACCTCATACATAGAGAAAAGGGTTGCTTTATCATTTCATAAGAAAAAAATTATAGTAAATATATTAATTCAGGAAAACTTGGCTTATTAGGCAAATCGGGCCTTGAATAGTAGGCTGAGAAGTGAGTTCTGGCTACTAGGTACGACATATATATATATATATATATATATATATATATATATATATATATATATATATATATATATATATATATATATATATATATATCTTCACAAAACACAAAATCTTCAATAATACAAACTGGAAGAATAATCCGGTTCATTACATTTTTAATAGCATATATTTTAGAACCTGCAGGCCTGGTATACACGTGTTCATTGTCTTTAAGCGCCAAGAGGCACTTGAGGACTTGAACAACGAGAACTTCTCCGCTTTGCTAAGCTGTCGTTATTTTTCTTCGCAGGAATGATGAGGAAGAACAGTTGACAGTGACAGACGGCTCCTCATCTTTCCTCAACTTCAAGATACCTCCCAAAGCCATCCAGACTATCCTGTACTAGCATCCTGTGGGACCTAGCTAGATCCAGACTATCCTGCACTAGCATCCTTCAGGACCTAGCTAGATCCTGCCACTGAACAAGACTCGCTAGATCCTGTCATTGAACAAGACACTAGCTAGTTCCTGTCATTGAACAAGACCACTTGCTAGCTACATCTCTTAGTCTCAACAGATGCGAGTTACAGTAAATGTTGTGGATATATTATTAGCAGTATGCGTTTAATTGGTTAACTTGGCGCAAAATATTTCTCCATCAATCAAGCCCGGTTGTTTGAAGCTTACTCTAAGAATCAGATAATTGACTCTTGACTCACCATATTAATCCATCACCAGGTACACTCTTGGTTTGTGTCCTCTTATGCAGACAGACGACAATAACACAGTCAGTACCGAGAAGAACTAACTTACACAGATAGGAACTTAAATTATACAGCTATCATGCGGGAGGTGTTCCTTTAGTGTTTGTATATTAATTAAATGATCAAATACTGTTTTATTCTTGAAACCTTAAACACACACACACACACACACACACACACACACACACACACACACACACACACACACACACACACACACACACACACACACACACACACACACACACACACGCACGCACGCACGCACGCGCACACACACACACACACACACACGCACACACACACACACACGCACGCACGCACGCACGCACGCGCACACGCACACACGCACACACAGACGCACACACACACACACACACACACACACACACACACACACACACACACACACACACACACACACACACACACACACACACACACACACACACACACACACACACAATTCTATGATAAAGTAACAAGGATAAGGCAGGACAGAGAAGGCTGGGCAAACTGCATATTTCTTGACTGCCAAAAGGGCTTTGATACAGTACCGCACATGAGACTGCTATACAAACTTGAGAGGCAGGCAGAAGTAAGCGGAAAGGCCCTAGTATGGGTGAAGAGCTACCTAACAGGAAGGAGCCAGAGGGTAATGGTAAGGGGCGAGAAGTCGGACTGGCGAACAGTAACAAGTGGAGTACCTCAAGGATCAGTGCTGGGACCAATCCTCTTTCTAATTTACGTAAATGATATGTTTACAGGAGTGGAATCATACATGTCAATGTTTGCGGATGACGCAAAATTAATGAGAAGAGTTGTGACAGACGAGGATTGTAGGATCCTCCAAGAGGACTTAAACAGGTTGCAGAGATGGTCAGGGAAATGGCTACTGGAGTTCAACGCTAGTAAATGTAAAGTTATGGAAATGGGATCAGGTGATAGGAGACCAAAGGAACAGTACACAATGAAGGGGAACAGCCTACCTGTAACGATTCGAGAAAGAGACCTGGGAGTGGATGTGACACCTAATCTAACTCCTGAGGCACATATAAATAGGATAACGACAGCAGCGTACTCTACAATGGCAAAAATTAGAACTTCATTCAGAAACCTAAATGAGGAGGCTTTTAGGGCGCTTTACACTGCTTACGTGAGACCAGTCTTAGAGTATGCCGCGCCATCATGGAGACCCCACCTGAAGAAACACATAAGGAAACTGGAGAAGGTTCAGAGGTTTGCGACGAGGCTTGTCCCAGAGTTACGAGGAATGGGATATGAAGAGAGTCTGAAGGAACTGAACCTTACGACACTAGAGAAAAGAAGGGAGAGAGGAGATATGATAGGGACATATAAAATACTCAGGGGAATTGACAAAGTGGAAATAGATGAAATGTTCACACGTAATAATAACAGAACGAGGGGACATGGGTGGAAACTGGAAACTCAGATGAGTCACAGAGATGTTAGGAAGTTTTCTTTTAGCGTGAGAGTAGTGGAAAAATGGAATGCACTTGGGGAACAGGTTGTGGAAGCAAACTCTATTCATACTTTTAAAATTAGGTATGATAGGGAAATGGGACAGGAGTCATTGCTGTAAACAACCGATAGCTGGAAAGGCGGGATCCAAGAGTCAATGCTCGATCCTGCAAGCACAAATAGGTGAGTACAAATAGGTGAGTACACACACATACACAGGTGATACCACAGGTGATACACACACACATACATAGAGGTGGTATTCATAAGCGAGAACAGGAAAGAGGACCTGTTAGCAAGGAGGAGCACTCTAGGAAATGTACAAAAGTTCAAAAAAGTATTCCTGCAGAAGGATATGACAAGGGATGAGAAAGTGAGGGCAGCAGACGAGAGGAGAGAGCGTAGGGAAAGAGAAAGGAATCAGAGACCCACAATCCCGAACCCTACAATCCCAGAGGGGAGTGGGGAACCCTTTACAAACAGTTCAGCAGCCACAGGAAGTGGAGCACCACCCCCACATTCTACCCAATAGGTACCCTACCTGCCTCATCCCCTGACAGCCCCCACTAAGTGCCCACCTAGGGCACCTCCCCCCACTCACCCCCGTCCCCCACTCACCCTTCTCCCCAGGACCTCTCTTCTCCCCCACCCCCCAAGCCCTCCCTTCTCCCACATGCCCTCCTGTCTCCTCTACCCCATTCTCTCCGTTCTCCCCCCCCCCTGTGCCCCCCACTCGCCCCCACCCAACCTAAGCCTACGCCTTCTCTTCTCCACCACTCCCCTAAACCCTCCCCTCTTCCTCATCCCTCTCAGCCCTCCCTTTTCCCCCACGCCCCCCAAGCCCTTTCCCCTCTTCTGTCCCCCAAGCCCCTCCTTCTCCTCCATCCCTCCAAGCCCCTTCCTCCACCCTTGTCCCCCCCAAGCCTCCCCGTCTCCCACACCCCTCAACCCTCCCACTCTCACCCCCCCCCCCAACCCTCCCCCTCTCACCTCCCCAACCCTACCCCTCTCACTTACCCCCCAACCCTACCCCCTCTCACTTACCCCCCCCCCCCCCACCCTACCCCTCTCACTCTCCCCTTCTCACCCACCCAACCTACCCTCCCCCTCTCCCACCCCCCAAGCCCTTCCTCCTCCACCATTCTCTCTGTACCTGATCCTCTCCACCCCCGCACACCCCAGATCCCACAGGTCCCTCCCAGAGGAAGGGCAGAAGAGAGTCAATTTCAGAGTAATGTACTTGATGGAATTACAAGCATGGCAAGTGAACTGAAGAAAAGAGCACAAGAAGTGAACCCAGATGTAATCGGACTCACTGAAAGAAAACTCTCAGGAATCATAACGAATGCCGTGTTTCCCCAGGAGTACACAGTAATAAGGAAATAGAGGGAAGGTAGGGGAGGAGGTGGAGTGGCCCTTACTAATGAGAAAGGACTGGAGTTTCAAGGAGGTGGCTATCCCGGGCTGTGATGGATTCAGAGACTAGATAACAGGCACCATGACAATGAGAGGGCCAAGAAGTAGCAGTGGTATATAACCCTCCACCAAATGACAGAAGACCCAGTCAAGAATGACAGCAACAACATGGTAGTTAACACTATAATTGAGAGGGCAGCTTCTGCTGCCTGTAGAAATAGATCCCACCTGCTCATCATGAGGAACTACAATCACGAAAGGATAGACTGGGAAAACAAGGAACCACATGGAGAGCCAAACTATTGGAGGTGGTGACTAGAAACCTTTTAAGCCAGCATGTCAGGGAACCCACAAGGATGAGAGGAAACGATGAACCAGCGAGACTCGACCTAGTCTTCACTCAGAACGACTCAGACATAAGGGAAATCGGATTTGAGGCCCCAATAGGAATGAGCGACCACAGTGTACTGATGTTTGAGTATCTGGTTGAGGAAGGGTTATTGAACTCGCGGAGGGGTACTGAAAACAAAAGGTTTGGATATGACACAGGCCATAGGCCCAGATGGAATCTCCCCTTGGATACTAAAGGGAGAAGCAGAAGCACTGTTCCTGCCACTCTCCATAGTGTAAAACAAATCACTATCAGACCAGACTAGTACCCGAGTACCTGACAACAAGGGAACTGCCAGAAATTTGGAAAGCAGCTAATGTAGTTCCGATGTACAAGAATGGGGATAGACAGGGGGCACTGAACTACCGGCCAGTGTCCCTAACCTGCATACCATGCAAGCTGATGGAGAAGATTGTGCGAAGAAAACTAGTGGAACATCTGGAGCGAAAGAACTTTTGTAACACAGCATCAACATGGGTTCAGGGATGGCAGGTCCTGCTTCACACGGCTAATTGAATTCTACGACCAGGCAAGAAAGAGAGGGGTGGGCAGACTGCATATTTTTGGATTGCCAGAAAGCCTTTGATACAGAACCACACAAGAGGCTAGTGAAAAAGCTGGAGACGCAGGCTGGAGTGAAAGGGAAGGTACTCCGTTGGATAAGGGAGTACCTAAGCAACAAGAGACAACGAGCCAATGTGAGGAGTGAGGTCTCAGATTGGCGTGACGTCACAAGTAGAGTCCCCGCAGGGGTCAGTACTTGGACCTTTACTGTTTTTGATATATGTAAATGATCTCTCAGAGGGGTATAGACTCGTTTCTTTCAATGTTTGCTGACGATGCAAAATTTATGAGGAGGATTGAAACAGAGGATGATATTAAGAGACTATAGGACGACCCAGACAGACTGAATGAATGGTCCAACAAATGGCTGCTAAAGTTTAACCGGTAGTAAATGCAAAGTAATGAAACTAGGCGGTGAAAACAGGAAACAGACACAGGATACAGAATAGGAGATGAAGTTCTTAATGAAACAAACAGAGAGAAAGATCTAGGAGTTGATATCACACCAAACCTGTCTCCTGAAGCCCACATAAAAAGAATAACGTCTGCGGCATATGGGAGACTGGCTAACATCAGAACAGCGTTCAGGAACCTGTGTAAGGAATCATTCAGAATCTTGTACACCACATATGTAAGGCCAATCCTGGAGTATGCGGCCCCAGCATGGAGCCCGTACCTTGTCAAGCACAAGACGAAGATGGAAAAAGTCCAAAGGTATGCCACTAGACTAGTCCCAGAACTAAGAGGTATGAGTTACGAGGAAAGGCTGCGGGAAATGCACCTTACGACACTGGAAGGCAGAAGAGTAAGGGGAGACATGATCACAACCTACAAAATCCTAAGAGGAATCAACCGGGTAAACAAGGATGAACTATTCAACACTGGTGGGACGCGAACAAGGGGACACAGGTGGAAACTGAGTACCCACATGAGCCACAGAGACGTTAGAAAGAACTTTTTCAGTGTCAGAGTAGTTAACGGATGGAATGCATTAGGCAGTGATGTGGTGGAGGCTGACTCCATACACAGTTTTAAATGTAGATATGATAGAGCCCAGTAGGTTCAGGAAACTGTACACCAGTTGATTGACAGTTGAGAGGCGGGACCAAAGAGCCAAAGCTCAACCCCCGCAAGCACAAATAGGTGAGTACAAATAGGTGAGTACACACTGTGACGGTAACGCGTTGGTGTTCGGCTGTTTAAGGCTAGGGGTATGGCCTCGTCACATAAGGAGATTATCGTCACAACACACACACACACGCACACACACACACTAAA